TTTACTTCATTAATGATTCAAGATTCAACTATGCTCAGGGTGTCTCAGTATTTCATTTCTCTTTATTGTCAAAAACACTCCAATGTTTATATATATCATGCTTTTTACTTAGTAGATGGACATTTGAGTTATTTCTAGTTTGAGGCAATTACAAATAAAGCTGCTATGAACAATTTATATATACTTCTGTGTACATACATGTATTTCTCCAGATTTTTTGAGACATAATTGACACATAAAAATTGTATGTATAATGTATAACATGATGCCGTCTAGGGGATTTGCTGGTTTTAACGTTTTGATATACTACAAATACATTGTGAAATGACTACCATAATAATTTGCCTCAATTACCTAGAAGTAGGTTACGTGGCAAGTTTACATTTAAATTTATACAATAAGGATAATCCTCACTTTACAACTTATTTTGTAATGCCTTAAGACTTTTGACCAAAGTATGATGTACAGACTTAACAGTCCACTGCTCAGACTTACTACTCATTTTATTGTTTGTTTCTGTACAATTATATCATCTTGTTTATAGAGTCTCAATGTCTTTTCTGTATAGTACACCTTGTATATATGGTACTGTCACTTTTACTGATTAAACTGTATAGTACAGTACTGTAGTGTTATGTTGTGTTATACATTACAAGGGTGCACATAAAAGTTATGCAAATGAAATCAAAGTCATAAGATTCGAGTTTCTGTAGATCATTTCTTTGTTTTGAGTATTTTAATGTACATACTCCACACAATTTCTGATGTATGGACAAAGTCATTTAATGACCTAGCTACAGGACTCTAACTCAGTCATTAAATGAGGAATATCTATATGTAAATTGTTCCTTCAAGTCTCCGTGCCTTTTTGCACTCTCATCAGAAGTGTGCAAGTTTTACCATCAAACACTCATTGAACATGTAGCATTTTCAGTGTTTTACAATTTATTTGTATGTGTTTTTACACATGCTCCTGCAGGGCATGCATCATTCTTTCTTTCCTCTGTTGGCTGCTCACTATCATTTCTATTGTATGTCATTTGAGAAATATTATAAGAGAAATGCTTTATTGGGGTTAAGAACCAGAAGAGCTGCTTCACACACCCACAAATCCTTCATGGGGACAAGGAGGTAGTATAATTTTGTGAATGATAAACATCAACAGTATTGCAAACACAAGGATGCAGATTTGGAATTTCCACAAATAATGAAGATTAGAAATTCCTGACAATAGAGTGGGCATCTTCATTAAAAAGAGGAAGAGGCTATCTGCCAGGGGATATAGGATGAGTATCTCCTGGGGCTGTTTTGTAGCAGATTCATGCATGAGGTAAAGGATGGATGAGTCTTTCATGTGTCTTTAGGAATATATGAAGCAGACAATACAAAATTTTGTGACTTCTGAATTTTTCCGTCTATTCCTAAAATTTCACCTGAGTTTGGCTGACCTGGAATCCTTAATGCTCTAGTAGGAAAATGTGTGGAAATTCATCCAAAGTAGAGTAAAATGAAGGTTTCTGTTTTTCCGAGTGTCTAAGTTCTGGTACATTTTCCAAATAAGAAGTTTCAAAGGGAGCTCAGGCACAGCAACAGTCAGTGACTAAGATATTTCATATAGAATTTCCTCCCTGTCACCACTCACATTAGACATAGAATCTATATCATGATCTAGTCTACCTCATGGCTAATAATATAAATGTCAAAGGAATCAAAGAGAGAGAAATTAAAGTTTCCAAATATGAATTGCAGAGCAGGGCAACAGATGAGAACTAACAAACTCCTTTTAAGCTTGTTTTTTTTACATCCACATAGACCTGACTATCAAAAATGATCTATCTGCCAACCTTTTCTTTAACACCCTCTAGCCCTGGTATGGTATTGTATGTTTTTAGAATACTGCTTACAACAACTGACAGCTTTTTTATACACCCATGAGGAATGATGTATCTTTTATTCATCTTCACACTTTAAGTGTCTGTCAGATTGTTAAGTCTTCCTATCATCCGTAAGGATATATCACCCCTAAGGAACCTGGTTATGAACTGCCACTAGGCCTCAGAGATTCAGTCTGCAAGGAGGTCCTGCTGAGATATGTCAGAGTAATTTATTGCTAAGCCATGTGATTTTTTTTTCTTGATAAAAAATAAGCCAACAAAGAAAAAAGATGAAACTTCAACAAGAAAATATTACTTTAGTTGTAAAGATAAACTCATGTTATATACACATGTTTTGTGAACAAACCGTGCAATCGCTATCATTGGGGATAGTTAAAGAATCAGTCATCAAGTTGGCTTGAGCCAGTCATAGTGGAGGAAATATACTGGCCTAAGTGTCTACAATGGTTTTGTTACTGGTAATGCCATATGTGCAGATATGTTCCTCTTTGCTCTATTATTTCTTCTGCCCAAATGACTTTTTTGTCAATGATTTTATTTTATTTTATTTTTAAAAATAAAACAAAAAGTGATAAAAATGATACTGAATTTCAAAAAATAATAGGAAATCAACACTAGTTAATATATCATATATTGTTATTTTAAAAATAGTTCAGATTACAAGATTTAGGCATAAAAATGATCAAATAAATGATGAGAACACAAACTGTTCTTTTTGATGAAGTTACAGAAATTAGTAGTATAGTTATTGATTTTGTATAACACATACACACATAAAAATATGTATACTTATATACATATAATCTTTTCCCTTCTTTCTTGTTTCCTTTTCCCTATGTGTAAATATCTTATTGTCTCCCTAGTGTAAAATAAAACTGAAAGACTAATAAGATTCAAAATGTATACTAGGTGTTGTAAAAATTAAAAAGAAACATGGTGCCAAGTGACTTTTTAAAACTCTTATATGTAAATTAAAATTTTAAGTGTATTGTCAGATTTATAAAAATGTAAGAGAAATATCTAACATAAGGATAGTATCAACTGAAGACATGAAGTCCTCTTGCATTAGATTATTTGATGAGGATGATTAAGACTCTAAGAAGGAAAGCGATTGCCTCTAAGTGGTTGTAAAAAAAAGGAACATTACTCAGAACTTTGCAATCATGTTCAACTCAAAGCCTCAGATACTTCGTATTTTCAACAGTGGTGAAAGTCATACTTTTGAGTAACTCATTCAAATTTAAACATTACAGCAGAAAATAAATGCTGAAAATCAGCCAACACTCTCACCAACAACATATCTCATTTTGCCAGCAAAAATCTTTTTGCATGATATCTTTGATTCTGGAAGAGATGTGGACTTAATTTGATCAAAGCCTTCAATACATTATCAGTACTGGTTCAAGAATCAGTGTGAGGAGTTAGAGGGAGCAGCTCTTTGTTGGAGCATATGCTTAACATGTGCTAGGCCTTGGTTCAATTCTCAACATACAAAATCAAACCAAACCAGACAAAATGAAAATCAAAGCAAAAGTAGCAATGTTATCCTGAAGCTTATTGATGTGGGTCATAGGAAAATACAGTTATGAAGAATTGTATGAAGCCGATAGATTTACTTCCCTGCCTTGGGTCTCCATAGGATGATTGTTTTCCCCTGAACCTGATACTTTAATGCTTACAAGCATCAGTGATTTCCCAGGTGCTATGGTTTGGAGTAACTCCCCTGTTAGTTCCCTGGAAAGTAGGTTGCTAGAAAACAGCATGATTGACCCTTCCCTAAACCCTGCCTTTCTATTTTGTCAAGTGATCTCTTCCTCTTGTATGCACCTACACTATTATACCGTAACTCATGATATGATGCAGTCAAGGAGACTCTTACTAGGACCCAAATGGATGAGGTCACCTGCTTTTGGATTTTCAGCCTCCAAAAATGTGATTCAAATAAATCTCTTTTTAAATAAATTGCTTAGACTCAGATATTTTGTTACAGTAGCAGAAGATGGGAAAGTAAACCAACTGACTAAATTTAGCTGAGTTGAGGACCTAATGTTTAATATTCCCTCTCATTGACCTTAGTAATTAGTGCAGAGTGAGTGTCATGAAGCATAAGATCTCAGTTTAGTTTCACTAAATGGTTCCTCTGTATCCACCCCAGAAAATATGAAAGAACTTTTGGTCATAGCTCTTAATAATTTAGTTAAATCAGGTAATGATAACTTAAAATAAACCCATTTATTGATACGTTGGGAAATGTTTAGGATCCAGTTAATAACTTAAAATAAACTTGTATTCATAAAGATTAATAGGAGCTTTACAAGACAAAAGTCATCATTTAAAAATGACAAAAATAGGTACCTAATTGTTGAAGATCCGTGGCTATTCCTAACAGCTTATGAAATAGACCACTCCCCATAACAGTGCTAGAAGTGAACAAATATTTAGTAAATATGAATGTCAAACATAGGCAACATGTAACAGCCTCTATCATTACTGCTAAAACTAACATATATAGCATTTATTTTAGGTCTAACACTGTACTCAATTTGTATCATAATTTCATGTAATTATGAAAACAACCTAAGGATATCACCCTTATTATCACTGAACAGAAGAAATTGATTCAAAAAAGGTTAGTTGGCTTACACATTACTCACAATGAGTAAATTGTGTTTTTTTTTTTTTTTTTTTTTTTTAAATTGGTACCCGGGATTGAACTCACAACTGCACGCTTGCAACACAGGCGCTTATGCCACTGAGCTAAATCCCCAGCCCCAACAATGAGAAAGTTGAAAACAAAGAATCAGTCTCCTGACTCAGAACATCTACATTCCTAATAAATTATGATTGAATCCCTCAAGTAGATTTTCTGTAATAAACGGAATTGAGAGATAAATTCTTAGTTGTGGATGCCTTGAGTCTCTAACTTGTCATTTGCTATGATTTATACATGGTTTGTCCTCCCAAAATTCATGTATTGGAAGCTGTTCCACAGTGTGGCAGAGTTGAAATGGTGGAGATTTTAAGACATAGAGCTTACCAAATTTGATTATCAATGAGAAGTGAAACACCTATGCAGTAGCTCATCAGGTGAAGTTGCTTCCATACCCATTCATCCAATATCAGCGTTTTGAAAAGGTCATCCAGATCCCTATAGAATTCACATGGAACACCCAGAGGACCTTCCAAAAGCTCATCACTCCAAAAATTTTCAGCAAACCATGCCATATCATTAAGCCCATAAAAGCAGAGGATTTGGATTACTGCTCTTCCTCAAAGACAGACTTCTCTGTCACACAAAAACATCCAAAACAACCCCATACACATCACACAAAAGAAGAAAAATTCCATGAATTAAATTGCCACAGGAGTGATATCTTGGTGCCTGAAACCAGGATCCCTGACTGCTCTTCCTTTGATCGCTCTGTATTGCAGGATCACTTCTAAAACCAGCTTAGCACATTGAGAATGTAATTAAGCCACGTTAGAAATAAAGTGTTTTTAATCTAATTAAAAAAGAGGTGAGCCTAGAGTAAAAGATAATTAGATCATAGGCCTAGCACCCATAAGAATGGATTAATTCTGATGTCATGAGGTAAACTGAGTCTGCGAGGAATAAGTCCTCATGAGACTAGACCTCTACGTCTTCTTGGTCTATGTAATATATAGCCACATCTCTTCCTCTTTTCTGCCATGATGTGGGTCAAAGTGGCCCTCATCAGGATATTGTAGCCACACAATGCTTGGGTTTCCATCAACCTAAACCTCTTTACTTAATAAGTTATTTGCTTCACATATTTTATTATAGGAACACAAAACAGACAAAAAATAATTTTGTTCACTGCATTCTTACAGGCAAAAAGTTATAAAAAAATGCTCTGCTGTCCGAGATAGGAAAGTAGGCATAAACACATGACCAATCAAAAACAAGTTATGTGTGTTTGGCATTAGCATATTTTTAGACTTTTCTGTGATTTTTTTGCTATATGTATTCTCTTTAAATAAAAGAATACTCAGTGAATTTTAAGTATACAAAATACACTAATTTTAAATGTGCATTTTAAAATGTGTTTTAATTGATTTACAGTAATAAAACTACCAACTACATCAAGATAATGAACACTGGTATGACATATTAACACCCTGTAATTTATCACATAAATTCTCTTAGATGTGAAATATCTCATACTGTGTTTATTATGCCTAACAAAAATGTGCTATTTCTATGACATTGTTTCCATCATCTTTACAAGATTTTTATCTTTGTTTTATACAAATGCATCTCTCATCAGGCATTGATTTTTTAATCTATATGGGTCTCATTAATTGGGAATTTAACTGGTTTGTAATATAATCCACCTATACCTCTATTTATCGACTTAATGTTAATTTTAGTACTTTTTTGGTGTTTCACGTTTTCTATTGTTTTTTGTTTTTTCATTCTTTTTCAATTGCAAAACTAGGAATACATATACACTATTTTTTCAGGAAGTCAATGACAAATTGACTTATATGAACTACCATCTCACGTGTTAAATACTATTTTTTCTAATTCAATATTCAAATACTGTGTCACCTATCACTCTCTGAACAGTATTTTGCACATTTTTGTTATTATTTTAAAGAGAAAAAATAAAAATATAATAATTCCAAAACAAGTTAGGAGAGTTACAATAATTCATACATTTAACGGTGTTGTCTAGCAGTTTTTCAGAGTATAAGATATAGGAAAGGAATGCTATTGTTTTTTTATTTAAAGGAAAAAAAACAGTATAAGGGTACAAGTAATACAGAATTACAAAAAGAAAACGGTAAGAAATCACTAGTTAATAGATTACATATTTTCATTTTCTCCAGCATTTGTTGTTGGTAGGTTTGTTGAACCTGGCCATTCTTTCAGGAGTGAGATGGAATCTCAGTGTGGTTTTAATTTGCATTTCTCTAATGACTAATGATGATGAACATTTTTTCATGTATTTATTTGCCATTTGTATGTCCTCATCTGAGAATTGTGTATTCATCTCAGATGCCCATTTTTGGACTGGATCTTTGAATTTTGGGGGTCTGAGTTTTTTTTTTTAATTCTTTATATGTGTTAGACAGAAGTCCTTTGTCTGAGGAAGAGTTCACTAAGATTTTTTTCCCAGTTTGTGGGTTTTCTTTTCACTATGCTGGAGATTTCTTTTCACATGCAGAAACTTTTTTTTTTCTTAATCTTTTTACCGGTACAGGGGATCGAACTCACGACCGCCTGCTTGCAAGGCAGGAGCTTATGCCGCTGAGCTAAATCCCCAGCCCCAACATGCAGAAACTTTTTTAATAAGAGGTGGTCCCAGTTATTGATTCTGGGAAGTATTTCCCATGCGGTTTGAGTCCTATTCATGAATTCTCTACCTACCCCTATGTCTTCAAGGTTTCTACCCAATCTGTCTTCCAATAGATTTAATGTTTCTGTTTTAATATTCAGATCTTTGATTAATTTAGATTTTAATTTAGTACATGGTGATAGGCACGGGTCTAGTTTTAGTTTTCGGCAAATGGAGAGCCAGTTTTTCCAACACCATTTATTAAAGAGACTGTCGTTCTTCCAGTGAACCTGCTTGGCTCCTTTATCAAAGATGAGGTGGTTGAGTGTGTTTGTAGTTGTGGTTGTATCTTCTAATCTATTCCACTGATCTTCAGCTCTGTTTTGATTCCAGTACCATGTTGATTTTACTACAGTTGCTTTGTAGAATAACTTCAAGACAGGGATTGTGATGCTTCCTGCCTTGCCTTTGTTGTTAGACCTGTTTTTGCTATTCTAGGTCTCTTCTCACTCCAGATGAATTTTAGGAGTGATTTCTCTAGTTTTATGAGATATGTTGATGGTATTTTCATTGGGATTGCATTGAATCTGTATGAGTTTTGGGAGAATGGCCATTTTGACAATATTTATTCTTCCTATCTATGAGCAAGGGATGTCTTTCCATTTTCTGACATCATCTTCAATTTCTTTTTCAGTGTATTATAATTTTCTCTGTATAGGTCTTTCACTTCTTTCAAAAGAGTGATTCCTCAATATTTCATTATTTTTGGTTGCTAATGTGAAGGGTGTGGCTTCTCATATCTCTCTCTCTCTGAATTTGTTGTTAGTGTATAGGAATGCTATTGATTTTTGAGTATTGATTTTGTACCCAGCTACATTACTGAATTTATTTATCATACTTAAGAGTCTTTCAATGGAGTTTAGAGGGTCTTCTATGTACAGTATCATGTCATCTGCAAACAATGATAATTTAACTTCTTTTGGTATCTTTAACCCTTTTATTTCTCTCTCTTGTTTAATTGCTCTGGCTAGTGTTTTCAGTACTATGTTAAATAGGAGTGTTGAAAAAGGACATCCTTGTCTTGTGCTTGATTTTAAAGTAAAGGTCTTCATTTTTGGCCACTTAGTATGATACTGGCTGTTGGTTTATAGTAGATGGCCTTTATTATATTGAAGTAAAGACCATCTATTCCAATTTTCTGTAAAGTTCTTATCATGAATGAATGTCGGACCTTAACAAAAGCTTTTTCTGCATCTATAGAAATGATCATGTGATTCTTACTTTTGGCTTTATTGATATGGTGGATTACATTTATTGATTTACATATGTTGAACCATCCCTGCAAGCCTGGGATGAATCCCACTGAGTCATGGTGTACAATCTTCTTGATGATTTGCTGCATCCTATTTGCCAATATTTTATTGAGGATTTTTCATCTGTGTTCATTAGGGAGATTGCCCTGTGGTTCTCACTGTTAGTTGGGTCTCTCTCAGGTCTTGGTGCTACAGTAATATTTGCTTCCAGGAATGACTTAGGAAAGATTGCTTCCCTTTTAATTTCATTGAAGAGTTTGAGGAGTGCCGGCATTAGGTCTTCTTTGTATTTCTTGTAGAATTCTGCAGTGAATCCATTTGGCCCTGGGCTCTTCTTTGTAGATAAGGACTTAATTACATTTTCAATTTCATTAGTAGAAATTGGGTTATTCAGCAGTTTTACATCCTCTTGACCTAGCTTTGGTACTTCATATGTTTCTAGGAATCTGTCTATTTCTGCTGTGTTATCAAAACTTTAATAATTGAGGTTTTCAAAACAGGTGTTGATAATCTTCTGTATTTCTACAGAGTCTGTAGTGATTTCACCTTTTGCATTCCTTATTGCATGAATTACAGCTTTTTCTTCTCTTTTTAAAATAAGGCTGGCTAGGGCCTTATCAATTTTATTTATTCTTTCAAAGAACCAACTCTTTGATTCATTGATTCTTTGGATTGTTTTCTTAGTGTCTATTGCACTGATTTCTGCTCTGATTTTTATAATTTCATCTCTTCATTTGGCTTTGGGCTTGCCTTGCTCTTCTTTTTATAGCTGTTTGAGGTATAGAATCAGGTTATTTATTTGTATTTGTTCTGTTTTCCTGATATGGAAACTCAGTTCAATAAATTTTCCTCTGAGGACAGCTTTCATTGCATCCCACAGATTCCAGTAAGTTGTATCTGTATTTTCATTTTCTAGTAGGTATTGTTTAATTACTTCTTTAATTTCCCCTGACCCACTGATTACTCAAGAGTGTGTTAAGCAGTTTCCATGTGTTGATGGGATTTTTGCAGTATCTTTTGTCATTAATTTCTAATTTCAATGCGCTATGGTACGATAACATGCAAGGGATAATTTCAACTCTTTTGCATTTATTTAAGTATGTTCTGTGAGCTAATTTATGGTCTATTTTAGAGAATAACCCATGTACTACTGAGAAGAATGTGTATTCTGATTTTTTTGGATGGAACACTCTGTATATGTCTATCAAGTCCATTTGTTCACAGGTGTGATTCAGTTCTGGTATTTTTTTGCTGATTTTCTGTCTGGTTGATCTGTCCCTTGCTGTCCATGGTGTGCTAAGGTCTCCTGTTACAATTGTGTTACTGATAATTTGATTTTTCATTTCTGTTAATATTTATTTTATATAACTATGTGCTCAGGAATTTGGTGCATATATATTTAAGATAGTTATTTCTTCCTCTTGGAGTTTTCCCCTAACCAGTATGTAGTGACCTTCTTTATATCTTCTGGTCATTATTAGTTTAATGTTCACAGTGCCTGCAAACAGAATGGCTACTCCTGCTTTTTTTTTTTTTTTGGCTTTCTGTTTCATGAAGTATTGTTTTCCTTCCTTTGACTTTCAGTCTGTGAGTATCCTTTTGGGTTTCA